CTTTAGGACACAACAAATCTGCCAGTTTGCTTTGACTTGCTTTGTATTGGGACAAACCTGTTTGCACTTGTGTTTTTCCACATCTTTTCAGCTTCTTTTTTAAGTCCAGAATTTTCTTTAGCTTGTCACACTTTAGTTAACTGAGTATATGATTAGCTGTAAATCTTTTAAACCATTTTCAGGAATGAGTGGTAACATTTCAGAGTATAGATGTAAAATGCCAATTTTCAGCCAGAGATTTAATGTGCCTTGTTCTATATAGGGTGGGAAAAAAATCGCATTTAAAATATTTTTCTAGTTGAATGCTAAGACAGTAAAAATGTTTTGTTGCTTTTATTAAGGTCCATTATGATGCAAAATTCACATAATATTTAGAAACAGTCATGTGCCTGTATATGACGTACACAAATAAAAAAAAAAATCCTTTTCCCCTCTCTCACTGTCTTTATCCTCCTCTTAGCTATTGTGTGCTCAAAATACTCAGACTTCCTCTTATGATGTCATCAGGGGAAATAAGCTGTCCAGAGCGGTCTGTAGCAGTCCATTAGTCTAGGAAATGTAGAATTGCTTTGTCGCAAACTGGCCTAACAGTAATCAGATAAGAAATAGGTGAACAGACATGCAGCTATACTCCCAATGTTAGGATTGGAAGTACCTAAAATGAATAGCCTCCAGTATCTGGACTTTGTAATTTACTGCTTGACCACAACCAGCAGAATCTAGTATTAATTGAAAAAGAAAATCAAGAATGAGATTATAATCTAGGATTTGTGTCCAGCTAATATGGAAGGGGAAAAGTCCAGTAGTTTGAAAGTAGCAAATACAAAAAGCATGACTATTCAATGAATCGTCCCCAGAGCCTCCTATACTATAAGAACATCAAGGAAAGCATCACGAAGCAACATCAAAAAACTTCCTGTTCCTAACAAATACAAACAGGGGCACAATATAACGATAAGAACCAACCAATCAGTCTATACAATGTTCTTTTTATTAGAATGTAGAGACTAAGAATTGCATAGCTATCAATAGTATCAATGTAAATACGGACATTTACTCACTCATCCCTTAACCCCACAGTAATATCTGAATGCCTCCCTACTTCCATACTGCATTCCCAGCACTATTCAAGTCTTATCTCTCTTGGAACCAATTATTTTTGGGATATTATCGCATTGGATCTT